TTAATGTTCCATGTACTGTATAGTGTTTTCTCTGATATAGCTTGTCATATATAGGATTCTGGCTTCACAGCTAGCACACTTTTGACAGGTCAAGACGAGGATGCAAGATTATGTGCACCAGTTACTGGGTGATAGAAGCTACCTCAAAGAGGATAATTTGGTGTCTACACTCTAGTTATACCTGGTGGACTAACCTGCTGTACTATAAGAGAAGGAACCTCATCAATGTATGTAGTTATTTCTGTAGTTTGATTGGCTGCATATATATTAATTTAATAACCCCCCTAATGTGTAGAGGATCGATTTGTGAGATTATGAGATTATTGCAGAAATACAGTCCACTTAACATTATACAAATTGCTATCGAAGTATATAAATTAACGTAAATATAAATTCATATAAATTAAATAAATATAAATCTCACAGGTCGGTTCCCACATCTACCATGGATGGTCTGACACATCTCCATCACTCAGTGTTTACCATGGATGGTCTGACACATCCCCATCACTCAGTGTCTACCATGGATGGTCCGACACATCCCCATCACTCAGTGTTTACCATGGATGGTCTGACACATCTCCATCACTCAGTGATCCATGGATGGTCTGACACATCCCCGTCACTCAGTGTCCACCATGGATTGTCTGACACATCCCCATCACTCAGTGTTTACCATGAATTGTCTGACACATCCCCATCACTCAGTGTCTACCATGGATTGTCTGACACATCCCCATCACTCAGTGTTTACCATGAATGGTCTGACACATCCCCATCACTCAGTGTCTACCATGGATGGTCTGACACATCCCCATCACTCAGTGTCCACCATGAATGGTCTGACACATCCCCATCACTCAGTGTTTACCATGGATGGTCTGACACATCCCCATCACTCAGTGTCTACCATGGATGGTCTGACACATCCCCATCACTCAGTGTCTACCATGGATGGTCCGACACATCCCCAACACTCAGTGTCTACCATGGATGGTCTGACACTTCCCCATCACTCAGTGTCTACCATGGATGGTCTGACACATCCCCATCACTCAGTGTTTACCATGGATGGTCTGACACATCCCCATCACTCAGTGTTTACCATGGATGGTCTGACACATCCCCATCACTCAGTGTCTACCATGGATGGTCCGACACATCCCCATCACTCAGTGTTTACCATGGAGGGTCTGACACATCCCCATCACTCAGTGTCTACCATGGATGGTCCGACACATCCCCATCACTCAGTGTCTACCATGGATGGTCTGACAATTCCCCATCACTCAGTGTTTACCATGGATGGTCTGACACATCCCCATCACTCAGTGTCTACCATGGATGGTCTGACACATCCCCATCACTCAGTGTCTACCATGGATGGTCTGACACATCCCCATCACTCAGTGTCTACCATGGAAGGTCTGACACATCCCCATCACTCAGTGTTTACCATGGATGGTCTGACACATCTCCATCACTCAGTGTCTACCATGGATGATCTGACACATCCCCATCACTCAGTGTTTACCATGGATGGTCTGACACATCTCCATCACTCAGTGTCTACCATGGATGGTCAGACACATCCCCATCACTCAGTGTCTACCATGGATGGTCCGACACATCCCCATCACTCAGTGTTTACCATGGATGGTCTGACACATCCCCATCACTCAGTGTCTACCATGGATGGTCTGACACATTCCCATCACTCAGTGTCTACCATGGATGGTCTGACACATTCCCATCACTCAGTGTCTACCATGGATGGTCTGACACATCCCCATCACTCAGTGTCTACCATGGATGGTCTGACACATCCCCATCACTCAGTGTGTACCATGGATGGTCTGACACATCCCCATCACTCAGTGTTTACCATGGATGGTCTAACACATTCCCATCACTCAGTGTCTACCATGGATGGTCTGACACATCCCCATCACTCAGTGTTTACCATGGATGGTTTGACATATTCACTCCAATAAAGCGATGAGGTGTGACATGACCTCTCCACCCACTGTGTTAAAGCATCTCCTACTGCTGTACTTCAGGCCATTCCTCTTCACTTGCCGGCTTTTCACACGGCATGATTGGATCCGTACATGTTATGGCTGTTGTTGGAAATTATTATTTTAAGAGACGTGTTTTCACAGTTTTTCATAATTTTAAGTAATTATATTATTCATGCAAACATAGTTTTTTATTTCGGCAACTCTACTAATATCTTATTGGCAACTGATTCTTTTAAATTCCCTTATTCTTCTGATTTCAGAACACTGTATTTTTATAACTTGGTGGGAAGAAAACCTGTCCCATATTGTTCCCACTCTCCTGCTCCACCTATGGGCTGGCACATTTTAGATGAATTGCATACTCACCTAATTGTACTCACCTAATTGTGCTTGCGGGGGTTGAGCTCTGGTTCTTTGGTTCCGCCTCTCAACCGTCAATCAACAGGTGAACAGGTTCCTGAGCCTACTGGGCTCTATCATATCTACACTTGAAACTGTGTATGGAGTCAGTCTCCACCACATCACTTCCTAATGCAGTCCATTTATCAACCACTCTGGCACTAAAAACGTTCTTTCTAATATCTTTGTGGCTCATTTGGGCTCTCAGTTTCCACCTGTGTCCCCTAGTGCGTGTGCCCCTTGTGTTAAATAGATCGTCTTTATCTACCCTATCAATTCCCTTGAGAATCTTGAATGTGGCGATCATGTCCCTCCTAACTCTTCTGTCTTCCAGCGAAGTGAGGTTTAATTCCTGTAGACTCTCCTCGTAGCTCATACCTCTCAGCTCGGGTACTAGTCTGGTGGCAAACCTTTGAACCTTTTCCAGTTTGGTCTTATCCTTGACTAGATGTGGATTCCATGCTGGGGCTGCATACTCCAGGATTGGCCTGACATATGTGATATACAAAGTTCTGAATGATTCCTTACACAAGTTTCTGAATGCCGTTCCTATGTTGGCCAGCCTGGCATATGCCGCTGATGTTATCCTCTTGATATGGGCTGCAGGAGACAGGTCTGGCGTAATATCATTCGCCAAGTCTTTTTCTTTCTCTGACTCTTGAAGTATTTCATCTCCCATATGATACCTTGTATCTGGCGTCCTGCTTCCTACACCTATCTTCATTACATTACATTTGTTTGGGTTAAACTCTAACAACCATTTGTTTGACCATTCCTTCAGTTTGTCTAGGTCTTCTTGAAGCCGCAAGCAGTCCTCCTCTGTCTTAATCCTTCTCATAATTTTGGCATCGTCCGCAAACATTGAGAGAAATGAATGTATATCCTCCGGGAGATCATTTACATATATCAGAAACAAGATAGAGCCGAGTACAGAGCCCTGTGGGACTCCACTGGTGACTTCACGCCAACCTGAGGTCTCACCCCTCACCGTAACTCTCTGCTTCCTATTGCTCAGGTACTCCCTTATCCACTGGAGCACCTTACCAGCTACATCTGCCTGTCTCTCCAGCTTATGTACCAGCCTCTTATGCGGTAGTGTGTCAAAGGATTTCCGACAATCCAAGAAAATGCTGTCCGCCCAGCCTTCTCTTTCTTGCTTAATCTTTGTCACATGGTCGTAGAATTCTATTAAGCCAGTCAGGCAAGATTTACCCTCCCTGAACCCATGTTGGCGATTTGTCACGAAGTCCCTTCTCTCCAAATGTGTTACCAGGTTTTTTCTCACGATCTTCTCCATCACCTTGCATGGTATACAAGTCAAGGACACTGGCCTGCAGTTCAGTACCTCTTGCCTGTCGCCCTTTTTCAATATTGGGACCACATTCGCCGTCTTCCATATTTCTGGTAGGTCTCCCGTCTCCAGTGACCTACTATACACTATGGAGAGTTGCAAGCAAAGTGCCTCTGCACACTCTTTCAGTACCCATGGCGAGATCCCGTCTTGACCAACAGCCTTTCTAATATCCAGATCCAGCAGGTGTCTCTTGACCTCCTTTCTCTTAATTTCGAGCCCTTCAAAGGCCGCCTGGTTTATTTCCCTTTCTCCTAGCACAGTGACCTTACCTTGTTTTATTGTGAAGACCTCCTGGAACCTCTTGTTGAGTTCTTTACACACCTCTTTGTCATTCTCTATATACCTGTCCTCGCCTGTTCTAAGTTTCAATACCTGTTCTTTCACTGTTGTTTTCCTTCTGATGTGACTGTGGAGTAGCTTTGGATCGGTCTTAGCTTTGTTTGCTATATCATTTTCATAACTTTTCTCTGCTTCTCTTCTCACCCTGACATACTCATTCCTGGTTCTCTGGTATCTCTCTCTGCTTTCTGGTGTTCTTATTCTGCAAGTTCCTCCACGCCCTTTTGTTCAGTTTCTTTGCTTCCATACATGCCCTATTATACCATGGATTCTTCTTCTGCGTGATACTCATGATGAGTGGAAATCATGTACCTCGACAATTCCGTTATGAGAGCCTGCAGTAGTTACTGTGGTCAGCGGAACAAGGTCCTTACATACAGACAATGTTGTATCCTTCTGATTTCGTATCGTCATCTTGAACAGTATCTAATTACTTGTGCTTGAGTTGTTGGTCGAAATGATGTACAGCTATACTGGCCTTGTCTTTATTTAAATAATTAACCAGTTCTTGGTGTACTCTGGAAGTACTATGTCTGTGGAGTCTATAATTATTTTACAAACAGGTTGTCACAGGTCAAGCGTTATTACACTTACAAGATACAAAATAGTAATATACTTCACCTATGCCATTGTTCATCATCTACTAATATGAAGATTTTGTTGATCATGAGTTTTCTTTGTGTTTATTTTGAGTATATTTTTGGTATTGACTTTTACAGGGCTTCTGTGCATCGTAAAGTGTTTGTGTGTATGAATGTCAGTCGTTCGTGTCCATGCGTGTATAAACCTGAGAGCGACAATTACTGTTACTGTATCTTCGTCATGTATTCTCAGACCAGTAACGACTGTATTATTTATTCTGTATTTTGCATAAATGAACTCCACAGATAGGAGACTGGAGGAACCACTTGACGGAGGCGCAGCAGAAGGTCTTCAAGACGTGGACGCTGAACAACCTGGACGGATCAGACTTTCCATACTATCAAGACTACGATTAACATTAAACTATTTACACAAAACAGTTCTTGGCAGTTACTTTGCTTCCACGTCCGCCTTATATATTACTTCAACGGTTTAATGATAGTTATTTTCTAAAGGTATTTGCAATTGAACAAATCCACAAGGGCCTTGATGAGGGTTTGAACCCTCATCAAGGTCATTTTGGATTTGTTCAATTGATATATTACGCTATTGTGACTTTCTGTGTGTATTGAATTAGGGGCGTAGAGGTAGAACATTTGGTTGACAAAGCCCGAATGCACGGGGGAATTGTGTGACACCCCGGTTGTGCTTTGGAGAAGCTTCGGGATCCTCGTGAGGGCAGTAGCACTGCAGGTTGCAATTCTTTTGACCATGTGTGGTGTGACTACGGCACGTCTGGGAACATCCCGTGCATAAGTTTGAACCCTCATCACAGCCCTTGTGGATTTGTTCATTTGATATATCACGCTGTTGTGATTTCTGAGTTTATATTTGCAATTGTATTTTGTGTCTATTAATAGAATTACATTACCTAATTCGATAAAGTGATAGAGAAATCTGTTAAAATCTGTTAATTAAAACATTTGTTTAACTAAAAAAAAATATTAACGTTAACTCCTGGCATTTGATTTTATATAAAATATAGTTTCTTGTTGGTACACACACTGTAGTACACTGTGAGAATTACCGATGTGTGACACTTTACTGCGGTGCTCAAGGTATGTCTTGTGCTCTTTCTTAACATTATAAGTTACTCTCTTTTTCAAAGTTATAAAATATATATTCTCGTGGTGCACACTAAGTTGTTGAAATAATTAAACAATTATTAGTCACTTGTACACTGGATGGAGTTTACACAATTTAAAACCGCTTACAAGACGGGCGCTGAGTTACAATCGCGCTTAACAGGCATCTCCCGCTAAGAAGCTTAAACACGGACATTAAATTTTCTCATCACATTATTTTAAAAACTGGACGCCGTTTCCGACGCAACACCGGTACTCACAGTTATACCACAAAATACACACTTTTCTACACACCTCAGTGTTTCACAATCACTGTATTATGCTTAACACAGTTCATTCTTAGCACAATACAGAAGTGGACCAAAATACCGTGGCACTAACTCTGCACCGTTGCCAACAATTTACATCACAAAATTTTGTAGTGTTGAAAAAATCTTAAAAGTATTTTTGTTCACCAAATTATTTAACACTCTTTTTCCACCAATTTATATGACGTTATCCTGAGACGTTGGGAGCAAACTACAGCTGTACAATGTCCAGAATATACACAAGAGTATGCACTCACAGTACTCATTTACCTGAGAACTAATTACTAAACTAAATAAAACGAGAATTATCCTTAACTTAAACTAACTTACAGCTGGCTTGAACTATAGTTAAGGGAACAGAACAATATTTAAAAGGACTCAGACTAATTTTAAGGGGAACACTTACTGTTACGGGAATCACTAATAATTAAAAGGCAATCAATATATATTTATGGGGCCACTTGAACAAATCCACAAGGGCCGTGACGAGGATTCGAACCTTATTTAAAGGGCCACTTATTTAAAGGGGGATGACTCGTTACTAGTCCGCTAAGTTGGTCCTAATTCTAGAAGACCACAACCAACCTTGAAGTCCAAGAGTACAACCCCCAACTAGTAAACCTCGGCTCTCGACTAGACGTTTCCAAACGCCTGACTACACCTAGTGCCCAACCACTACTGTCAATTCCTTACCAAAGATCCTGCCTACTTCGTACCTGAGTGTCTTTGCACCTTCACGAGTTTTCGGATTCTGGCTATTCGGATCACTAAGCCACCCTTGTGACAACACTGCTAAGTCACCCTTGTGACAACACAACTAAGCCACCCTTGTGACAACACCACTAAGCCACCCTTGTGACAACACTAAGCCACCCTTGTGACAACACCACTTAGCAACCCTTGTGACAACACCACTAAGCCACCCTTGGGACAACACTAAGCCACTCTTGTGACAACACTGCTAAGCCACCCTTGTGATAACACCACTAAGCCACACTTATGACAACACCACTAAGCCACCCTTGTGACAACACTAAGCCACCCTTGGGACAACACCACTAAGCAACACTTGTGACAACACCACTAAGCCACCCTTGTGACAACACTAAGCCACCCTTGTGACAACACCACTAAGCCACCCTTGTGACAACACTGCTAAGCCACCCTTGTGACAACACCACTAAGCCACACTTGTGACAACACTAAGCCACCCTTGTGACAACAACACTAAGCAACCCTTGTGACAACACCACTAAGCCACCCTTGTGACAACACCGCTAAGCCACCCTTGTGACAACATCGCTAAGCCACCCTTGTGACAACACCACTAAGCCACCCTTGTGACAACACTAAGCCACCTTTGTGACAACACCGCTAAGCCACCCTTGTGACAACACTAAGCCACCCTTGTGACAACACTGCTAAGCCAACCTTGTGACAACATCGCTAAGAAACCCATGTGACAACACCGCTAAGCCACCCTTGTGACAACATCGCTAAGCTGCCCTTGGGACAACACTGCTAAGCCACCCATGTGACAACACCACTAAGCCTCCCTTGGGACAACACTGCTAGGTCACCCTTGTGACAACACCACTAAGCCACCCTTGTGACAACACTAAGCCACCCTTGCGACAACACCACTAAGCCACCCTTGTGACAAAACCCTAAGCCACCCTTGTGACAACACTAAGCCACCCTTGCGACAACACCACTAAGCCACCCTTGTGACAACACCACTAAGCCAGCCTTGTGACAACACCACTAAGCCACCCTTGTGACAACAACACTACGCCACCCTTGTGACAACACTAAGCCAGCCTTGCGACAACACCACTAATCCACCCATGTGATAACACCATTAAGCCACCCTTGTGAAAACACCGTTAAGCCACCCTTGTGACATCATCGCTAAGCCACCCTTGTGACAACACCGCTTTACTACCCTTGTGACAATATCGCTAAGCCACCCTTGTGACAACACCACTAAGCCACCCTTGTGACAACACCGCTTTACTACCCTTGTAACAATATCGCTAAGCCACCCTTGTGACAACACCACTAAGCCACCCTTGTGACAACACCGCTAAGCCAACCTTGTGACAACATCGCTAAGCCACCCTTGTGACAACACCACTAAGCCACTCTTGTGACAACACCATGAAACCACCCTTGTGACAAAACTGCTTAGCCACCCTTCCCAGCAAACAATTTTAGGTTGTCACAACATATCTGGAAAGTATTTGAAAGGATTGGAAACGTTTGTTTTATCGTATCAGATACGATATTGTGTGTGGACTTAAATAGGTTTCCAAAACTTATAACCAAGACATATGTATCTAACACTAATTTGAGATGTTGTGGCAACTTTACACTCCTAACATGAGTCATTCATAATCCATTCATACACCAATATGAATCTCTTGTGAAAGGTTTGAGCCTTATCTAAACCCTTTTCACATCTTTGTGTTTAAAGTTAAATTTCTTGAAATTAAATTATATTATTTTATATTATATTATATTATTTTTATTATATTTTATTTTATAATGTATTATTATTTTTCTTATATTTTTTTATATTATATTATTGTTTTCAATTTAAATATTAAAACCAATTTAAGGGTAAAAAAATCAAATAATTTATATTTCTTTTATTATTTACTAACAAATCAGCAAAAATACAAAAACATATGACCTATATAATTATATATATATATATATATATAAATAATATATAAATAATATATATATATATATAAATAATTTATATATATATATATATATATATATATATATATATATATATATATATATATATATATATATATATATATATATATATATATATATATATATATATATATATATATATTAGTGTAATATATAAGGTTGTAGTGTAATAGTATATATATATATATATATATATATATATATATATATATATATATATATATATATATATATATATATATATATACAAATATATATAAATAATATATTTATATATAAATAATATATTTATATTTATATAATATATTTATATATAAATAATATATTTATATATAAATAATATATTTATATATAAATAATATATTTATATATATATAATATATTTATAAATATATATATATATATATATATATAAATAATATATATATATATAAATAATATATATATATATAAATAATATATATATATATAAATAATATATACATGATAACCATCTTTGTAACCTATATGTAACTCCCTCTTTGTAACAAAGTTCAAATAAAGCAAATATATATGTGTACATACAAAAGAATGGGGGTGGTAGAAGATAATATTAGTGTTTAGTGAGTGACCACAAGGTCTCCTCTGAATACTTATTATTTTCTTCTCCGAGGCTATGGGTCCCCACATTGGCACCAGAGGTCTTCCTCACAAACTTTTTATATAATATATATATATATATAAATAATATATATATAAAGTTAAAACTAGCTAGTTATACGTAGATATATGATAACTAACCAACCCTACCAAACCTAACCTATCTAATATATATATATATATATATATATATATATATATATATATATATATATATATATATATATATATATATATATATATATATATATATATATATAATATATATACACACATATATATATATAGGTTATATACAGGAATCTATATGTGTCTATATATAGACACATATAGATTCTTCTATATAGACATTAGAGAAGATTCAGCGGTACGCCATGCACCAGGCTCGCCACCATTTTCAGTATTCGTCATATCCAAGTCTGCTGTGTGATGCACATGTCTTCTTGCTTCACCACCCTGTAATGAAATATTGTTTGTTACTAATTGTTTTCAATAATACATTATTTTATTATATAATATTTAATTTATTAATTAAAAACCGTTTCCATATTATAGAAAAAAAAACGAAAACAAGAATCTATATAAAACTATAGAATAGAATAGAATAGAATCTATATAGAATCTATATATCATATATATATTTATATAAATAATATATATATATATATAATATATATATATATTTATACATATATATTATTATATCCTGCATTATTTCAGCCCATTATTAGAGATAGTAGCCACCTCTTATTTTGGTTTTCTTTCATTATTAGTGCTCAGAAAATTAAATATATCTACATATTTAGTCAAAATCAGTTACATTATTTTATCTTATTCATAGCATAAATGTTCTCAAAGATTACTAAAAAGAAATTGAATTAGACTACAGCAAATTGGCAAACTTTACCTTGTATCTGTTTCCACCGAGTTTGTTTGGGGCGTTCTTCAACATATCAGCAATACTTGTCTCAACATCTCTTTCAGTTGCATTAGTGTGGGTGTTGATACAGGCTTCTGTAAATTTATAAGAATTAATTAATATATATAATTATAATTCACTTTGCCATTCCCCATTCCACAGTCCTCTCGTCCTTCCCACTTCCCCGTCCCCACATCCTCCCCACTATTCCCACTTCCCTGTTTCATCGTCCTCCTTACCATTTTCCCCTCCCCTGTCCCTTCTTCCTCCCCCACCATCTCCCATTCACCTGTCCCTTTGTCCTCCCCAGCATTCCCCTGTCCCCACCATCCCCAACTCCCCAGTCCCCTCGTCCTCCCCACCATTACCCTCTCCTCTGTCCCCTCGTCTTCCCCACCATCCCCCCTCTCGTCCTCCCCACCATTCCAAACTACCT